ATAGCGGGACTGCAGCGGCATTCTGACACTGGGGGGAACTAACTGCCACTGTCAACCCAATGACACTAATATAATGATCAGTGCTAATAAAGAGCACCGATACTGTACTAATGACACTGGGCAGGAAGGGGATAACATCTGGGGCAAGGAAAGGATTAACTGTGTGCTGTTTTACTATGGAAACATACTGCTGTGTATTTCTCTGCTGTGCAGAGAAATACACAGCAGCATGTTACTGTTGGCAGGAGAGAGACCTGTGTTGTTTACACACTGCTGTCTCCCATCAGTGATATTCGGCGATCGCCAGGTGCCAACGGGGAATCTCTGGCCAGACTTGGTGATCGACATCTGTAGCTACATGTATATATACGTGATTTTGCGCTGCCCTGCTGCCCTGTAGCAGTAGTTCTATAGTGCTATAGGGCAGTTGGAAAGCTGTTAAAACTAGTATTTTTTTTAGGTTTTTTTTTTTCGCATTAGTACATGTTCACCAGGGCAGTGCCCAGCCCCAATGCCATTTTGTGGACAATCCCTTGCCTACTAGCCTTGAAAATGACCTGAACTAATTTTAATGATTCAGCACCCATTGACTTCACAACTTCAGCACAGTTCAGCAATTCTCTTGTGTATGTAAGTTCAGCTTATCCCTACCTGTAAATGCTAGTGAGTGCAATATGTGTAGTCTCTGATATCCATGTGCCAATCTGCTTCTGCTTGATGGCAGAGTGTATTGACTGGAGGTGTCAGGCACAAGGTTTCTCACAAGCCTGTGTAAGAAGTGAGTGGTGGCAGCTCTGGTATTCATGTGTGCATACTGTTTTTAGTTGTTTCCTGTGTCTGAATTTGGAATTCTGATAACTTGGCAGCATTATGGACACAGTGATGGATAGGGATACCTTGCTACCTTGCACACTGTTCATCCTCCCATATCCTTGTATGCTTTGTACCCCAATCCATGGCACAGGGGTATACCTAAATGGGCCAGTTTCTAAACCTCTGAAAACAAAGGCCACAATGATGGTTGGACGATGTTGGATCATAGAATGCAGGACTGCAGAGATCAGACGGTGCAGTTCTGGTGGAAGGTTGTAGATACCAGTGTGATGGAGCCATTGTACAGATGGTTGCGTAAACATTTGGATTATAACAGTATTTAGCTGTGCTCTCGTTTATGTATCAATGGAATGATAAAAAAAGGTGTCAGTGTGTGTGTGTGAGACCCATATCTGTGATAGAATAGTCCATCACACTGCTACTTATGGGATTTTATTGTGTATCTTTCAGGAGTGCTGCAGGCATTGAGTGTTAACATAGAAGAGTGACAGCAGAAAAAAACAAGTGGTCCACTGAGTCAAGTATTGAGCCCTAGACTCAACAGCAGGTTCCTCCAATCTTGATGATTGTTTCTTTATATGTATGTACTGTCTATTAATGAGAGTAGTTTGCAAATCAGAGTATACCTAGTCCTGTAGATGACTAGGCCCAGGGACTAGAAAGGAAAGGCCTCTGTTTGTACAACTTCATAGCTGTCTGGACTGAGGGTCCATTCACACCAGAACGCAGTGCAGGAAACTCACGTTCCATGAACATTTATTGCACTGCGTTCAAAATGTACTGTATTTTGCGATCTGCGGTGGGTGTCAATGCAATGCTAATGACACCCCAATAGCAGGTCACAAATGCAGTGCGTTGTAAATGCGGTGTGTGAAAGTGCGATTGCAATGCTTTTTTTTAGTAGTTCACACGCACTACTTTTGGTGCAGTGCCCTGCCCTCAAATCACACAAGAATCACATATGAATTTGAGTAGATACCTGTGCGATTCCTGGGGTGGACCAGCTCTGGAGTAGGGTGATGTATGTTGTACACAGGTAAAAGTAAGACAGAAAGGCAAGAGTGGATCCAACTGCATCTATCTAAATATTGCCTTTTCTTTAATGTGCTCCTGGAGCTTCTTCAGACTAATATCCCTACTGAACAGCCACTGTTTAATGTTTTTATGCTTCTGTTGTTTTCTTTGAATCCAATTGGTGAAGAATTCAGGCCTTGGATGTTCCAGTTGTTGATTATCAGCTCTCTCTCTCCCTGCAGCTCTGGGTTTACTAGTAGAGATATTGTACATCTGTGTGGTCTTTCTGCATTGTGTTTCTGTTGGCTATCCTGATTTTTTCTCATAGTCCAAATACTAGTGTGTGGCTGTGGTGGGATGTTAGAGTGTAAGCACCTGTGGTGCAAAGAGGAATTTGACTGGCTCAGTGTTCTCTGTACAGCACTGCAGATTATGTCAGAGCTATATAGAGCTCATGCACATGGATCTACTTGGGCACAAAGTTGAGGAGCCACAAGTGGGGCATACAGCCAACCATAGTAGTCAGCCATTAGATTGTAAGCTCCCTTGGTGCAGAGACTGATGTGACCGGATCAGTGTTCTCTATACAGCATTGTGAAATACAGTATGTCCGAAGTTTATAATTGTATAATAATAATAGTGCATGCCTGTGGTGGGACATTGAAGAGTAAAATTCTGTGGTGCACAGACTGATGTGACTGGCTCAGTGTTCTTTGTACAGCACTGCAGAACTTGTTAGAACTATATATAATAATAAAGTGTGTGACTGGTAGGAATTTTGGAGTATAAGCTCCTTTGGTGTGGACACTGCTGTGAATGGCTCAGTGTTCTCTGTACAGCCCTGTGGAATATGTCAGAGCTATATAAATGTATAATTATAATAGTGTGTGACTGTGGAGGGGACATACCCTAAGCAGCCAAAACCCCTTTTAAGACTAGAGTGTAAGTGATTCTGGTGCAGAAACCGATGTAAATGGCTCATTGTTCCCTCCACAGCACTACAGAATAAGTCAGAGCTATAAAAAATGTATAATAGTATGTGGGTGTAATAGGAGTGAGGAGTGTTAGTGGTTACATCGGCAGGGATCCTTCCTATATATCCTATAAGTCATGCAGATCATGTGGCTTTCATATAAATTACATAAAAGGACGATGTGAAATGATACCTGGTGTGGTGTGCAATGAGGAATCTTTAAATATCCGGCTGCTTTTGTCCTTATGTTATCAGTGCTGTGGCCTCCTATAGAGAGAAATAGCCAACCAATGCCGCCATTCAATCTACAGCCAAATATCTGTGATGCTACAACCCTGAAGAACAAATAACAATTCTGCATTCTCCTATATAGGAGAGTATATAGACATCCAAATGTGGTATTGTATATAAAAAGTTCCATACAATGTACTGTACATAGAAGGGTCTATATACTGTATTGTGTACACAGCGATCCATACATTGTATTGTATACGTGGAGATCCATACATTGTACTGTATATAGATAGATCTATACACTGGACTGTATAATGAGATCCAAACACTGTAATATATACTGTATGTATGTATATATCTATATATATATCCATACACTTTATAATAAATAGAGATATACGATAAGATCCACACACTGTATTGAAAACAGAGAGCTCTATTTGTTGTACCACGTTAAGAGATCCATACTCTGTACTGTATACACAGATGTCCATACACTATACTATTGGGACAGAGGAAGAGATAATAGAGATAATATACTACAGTGGCAGGTATCCAGCCACCATTATTTTGTCAATAAGACCAGCCCTAGCCTCCACCAGCATGTGGAATATAATGTGTCTGTGTTGCTAGACAATGCTGTTAGCAGCAGGGTACACATGATCATGGACACGGTGTCCAGCAAGCATGGGCAGGAAGGCAACATATCCTTCACAGCACACTGAGTCAATTTACTTGAGGCTGAGAAAGATGAATTATGGGGAACAAAGGTTTAGCTGGTGGTGTGGCCACATGTCTTGTTCATGAAGTAGCCTGGCATCCAGGATTCCCTTTGTCAGACCAGAAGGATTTTTGCCCACTTCGGGCTGTTGTATCCAGACAGTGATCACCTGGCATAAGTACAGAAGTGAAGGCCCTATGGACTATTGGTTGTCCACTAGCAAGAGCTTGCTCAGTATGCACTGGAGCTTCTATCTTGCCCTGTAGCCAGTGGGCTGTATGAGATGGCCTTCAATGCAGCAGGTGGTTTTGTTACTGAGAAGCAAATGTGCCTATCTCCTGACAATGTAACCTGACTCACTTCCTTTAAACTTAACCAGTCTTGGATAACTAGTAACTGCAAAATCCTTGTTTCTGATGCTACAGACTAAACATTAAAATGTAATCCAGCCTCGAAAAAGAAAATCAAATGGTATCTGCTCCTACCACCTCACCTGGCCTAATCCTGTCATCCAGCACTGTAAAGGTGCCACACAATGTTTCCACAGCTGGATCTCCGCTACCAAATTTCTACTGATTGCTGCAATGTAAATCCATAGTTGCGCCTCAGTGTTTGCAGCCTATTGCAGTGCTTCAGCACTCAAAAATACAGTATTTGTAGGTATTGTCTCTTAAATGATACACTCTAATGTTGATTTAAAGATAAAACCTGCCTTATCTCCCCCCTCTTATATTGTGATGTAACCAAGCTGCTTGTTTACTGTCCAGCCACTGAAAAATATATTTGTGGCTTTTGTCCCTCAGATAACAGACTTAGTATAGGGCATTGAAAGTAGATTCGGAAATAAGAGGTTGTGGTTTGAATTGTTTTTGCGAATTCTGGTATAACATCACATTAAATTATTAAGACAATGCTGTGTGGTATTGCAAAAAGAGAATCTCACACAATTTACTATTAAACCATACCTCCAAACTTTGTAACTGGAGAATGAGAGACAGTTTGGAATGGAGAACACATGCCTCACACTCTGCATTCTGCTCTGAAAATGGCCAGGGCTAAGTTGTTCTGAATACTGGGCATGGCGTAAAGAAGAATGGTCAGAGCCTACACAGTCCAAAGTCCTTGTATATACAAAATACTCCATAATTACTGTGCTAAGAGTGGGAGACTCATATAAACATAAGGATCAAAAAAGAATATACAGTTTGTCTAAGCAAACCACACAGCAATGAGCAACTGTTGAAAAAGAACACTCTGGTCAGGATTAGGTATTACCAGGGGCGGACTGACCATTTGGAAACTCGGGCACTGCCCGAGGGCCCGGGGTCAGTAGGGGGCCCCATGAGATGCCCCTGGCACCTTTTTCATAGGCTTTTGTGAGTTTGGGCAAGGACACGGGCCCCATGATCCCCTATTGCTGGGGGCCCCATGAGTTGTCAGTCCGCCCCTGGGTATTACACAACATATCATATAGCAGCCAACCTTGGAGAGGTGGAGAGCTACCTGAACAACACGGAAGAGTTCAAAGATCACCAGATCTAAGTAAACTGAGAAAAATACAATATTGCAAATGTCACTGTAAAAGTATAAGCTTAGACTACCTTTTTAGTGAGAAATGTCTGGAGAGTAAGCTGGCAGGGTTTGGCTTGGCTGGCTGGGCTGGATTAGGCCTGTCAGAAGAATATACAGTACATTTTGGTCCGGACAGTTCTGAGGTAAGCAGTTAAGCAGGGTATACATCTTGGGTTTTAAAAAAAAAACTCACAGATCCCCGCATCCACACAAGCAATGTGGATGCAGAGATCTCTCCCGCTGCGCTGAATGAATGCTGGTTTTCCCAGAGAAGGATAGGCACACAGATCCAAATTCAGCCAGTTCCTGCTGAACCAGCCAATTTTTGGTCTGTGTATAAACTGATTAAGTAATGCAAATGTTAGTAGTATGTAATGCAGAGTTCAAAGGTCATAAGTATATAATGCAATATGCTGTGGTCAGTAGTATACAACATAAAATACAGAGATTAGTATTGTTTGTTGCAAAATGCAGGGGTCAGGAGTAAGTAATGCAATATGCAGGGGTCAGGAGTAAGTAATACAGAGATCAGTAACACACATCTACTAGTAAAGTACGGGTGACACCCAACAAGAAGCCCACCACTACCTGTCACCTTGACTCACTTGCGCACCTGCACCATATCCTTCCCATCTAACATTCTCTGATCCCCCTTATGAGCAGTCTCCCCCTGACCGACAGCACCTGCACTGTTCTGAGATAAGGGGAACCTATCAGCCAATCACAGCGGTGCCTTCTTGGCTTAGCCAATCATCTGTAGATGAGAGCAGTTTGGTAGTACCGCAAGACATCTGTAGTCTGATCACTGAGAGCGGGTTTGCAAGGGGCGTCCACAGTTTCTGCATAGAACAGGAGCTGAGCAGTGGAACAAGTGTTCCTGCACTTTACTCTGGAACATAGCTCAGATCCATGAGACACCGGGATTAAGTTGGAATTAGGGCAAGGCTACAGCTTTATCGAACTTTCCAAAATGTAACAAAATTCAAAGAAACCGTATAACAATGCCAGTCACGGTTCTACTGTGAGCATCCATAACAAAAACACAGATAGTCTAAGAGGCCTGTCTTCACCATCAGTGCCAGACGGGCATTAAACTGACCCCCGAATTAAACTTGAGGGCATAGCCCATAAAGCAATATCAACTGCTAGCATGGTAAAACCACCAATAAAACTGTGACAAAGCTCACAACGGGTGGGAGGGTGGTCAACTCTTGTGACGTCAGGATCTCCTCAGAGTAGTGGGACGTGCCCCTGCGCACCCTTTTCTATAATTCAGGCTCCACCCAGTCACCTCATGTCTTGGTGTCCAATCCTATCGGAGCCACTTAACATCCCTGTTTTAGGTTTATTCCCACGTAGCAGCCAAGCTTCCAGCAGTCAAGGCTCCCTTTCCCTTGGAGGAGGGAGTGGGGTCAAGGGGCCTTCATTCTGTGAACAGGTCAGGTTGTGAGGAAGATACAGCCTGGATTCAGAGGTTACCAAGACTTTGTTAAGATACAGGGCCTGTTGGGGGGCATGATTGAAGTGCACTGGCCAGTTTTTTACAGGTCCTTTAGCTTTGTTTATATTTATTTATTTGTTTATTTTAATAAACTGTCCTCAAACTGAAAGATCTGCTTTTCCATTATAGGATGTTCTGGGTATATGATAAGATTTATTAATTTATTGTTATTGTGAATAACATCCACATCGAAAGTACAAGTATTAGTGTACGTGTCATGATTCATGGTGCATCAGTGTCACTCACCTCCCAATCTTCCGTCTTTGCAGCAGGTCCTAGTTCAGTCAGTGTCACTCACCACTGCTCTTCCTCTTGTCTCTCATCTCCACAGCCAGTCCTTGTTCTAGCAATGTCAATTCCTGCACTCTTTCCCTTCTCTCACATTCTAACAACTGCTGGTCCTTGTTCTATCACTGCTACCCCCCCACTTCCACCGCCACCACCAATCTTCTTTCCCATTGCTACAGCAAATTCTTGTGCTATCAGTGTCTCATACTGGAAGTCGGAGCAGCAGTGGCAGTCCCCCTATGTGCCAACAGCACCGACCCTCTGTGATCTCTCTCTGTTACCTACGAGACGTATATTTCTGTTCTGGTAAGGCCATAGGTGTGTGCAGTTGACGGTCTAGTACGTCACAGTGATACATGATGGTGGCAGAGATTAATAAGATTGATGTAATTAGTGCTTGGGATGGATGTCCAGCCGAGAAAGGAAATGTGCAAAACGTCTGACGATGAATGAGGTTTCCGCATGTGCGCACTTTGAGCCCTGGCACTTCACTGAGATGTTCAGTTCTCCCTCCCCCCTGCAGCATGGCAATAATTCATCATTAGCTCTTCAGAGTCCGTCACAAGATGAAAAGTGATGGAGCCGCCAGCCAGGCGCAGACAGTGCGCCATGCAAGAATCGTCTGTGTCCGTGCTATCCCCCGGATGCCCTACACAATAATTAGCACAAAGCCGCTTTGGGAGTCCCTCGATGGTTCCCGGATCATACACGCAGAATCTACAAACCATCAGAAGGAAGTTGCAGGCCACGGAGGGTCTCCCACGCCGGAACGTTCCTCCGGCAGGCCGCTGTTCGCTGACATCCGCTGGCCTATTCCAAGGACTTTGTTTAGCTGCAACAAATCATTTGTCTGTTATTAACCCACAGCTTGTAATTATGCAGATTGCCATAGATTTCCCAGCCCTGCCGGTGAGACGGAGCCGCGTTGTGCGGCCGCCGGCGCTGAGCTGGACATGGATTACTGAGCGCGATTCATTTATCATAGTGAGTGATGGCAGGCGGGCAGGGCTCAGGTCCCAGCGGTTAATGTACTGGGTAATTAACTGTCATTTGCCTAGTAATAGGCCCATGATCAATGGTTTGTGTAGAAACAAATTCTAATCAGGCGGCTGATAAATGCGCTCAGCGAAAGCAACCGAAATTGGGGGACAAATGGAAACTGCAGCCCCTTCTGGCTTGTCTGACACTCTGACGCCATTTCTCTTTGTCTTCTGCTTCACAAGTGAAGAATCCACCTGAAGAAGACCTGCAATACCCCAAACACATGATATTATTATTGTTGTTATTATATTAAGAATTTATTCTTGTTATAATTATGATGTTCTTAGTAAATAATACTAATACTCCTTTACCCGATATTATTCGTAGGCCCTGTTTACACTATCGAAGTAGAAAACGCACACCCATTTTCTTCATAATACTTTTTTAGTGTAATTTTAATACATCACATTAAAATGTAACACATAACAAGATGCATTTTGCAGGCATTTTACATGCATTTTCTACCTGGGAAATTGGACCTGTGACTTGAAAAGTACATTGATTATAATGTAAATTGCATTTTTACCAAAACAAAAAAATTGCAGCAAGCAGAATTTTTTAGAAATGTAGCTCATTGCCCCCTAATGCAACACACTGATGTAAAGAGCTTAATAGATTAAAATGGTAATTTGTTTTCATGTGCTTTTAGCATGCTGAGATATTGAGTTGTAACGGTTCTAAACATGATGGTGTGAACTGGCCCTTACTGCAGATGTTCCTGTAAATAAGTCATTCTTCCTATATTGTTACAATTCCCGTTTACGGATTGCTGTGTCCTCATCTTGCAGCCTCTTATTCACCCTTCTCTGGTGGTCGTATCTCTTTTTCTGCTGGAAGTATCTTCTCTTATGGCCCTTATATATAGAAGGAGCTTTGCGCACTGTTAACTGCATGTTGGATGTGAATATGGTTATGGGGCCCGTGACACTGACAAGAGCCACAGCGTACTAAATGTGATTTAAGAGACTGATCAGATAATGTCCTGTGATCACAGGAGACAGAATATTCTCTAGGGTTGTTTTGGGCCCATACTCAGAGGCTTATTTTCCACCAAAAGTTATGAGCGAGTCATGAATGGTACGGCTTTTCAGTGCAGTGGTTGTAGATCCAGAAAACATACTTTAGACAGACAGACTGTGGACTTCTGGGACAACAAGACTATTTCCACATTCTATGTATACTTCATACAATAATTGGTGCTGTTCAAGTTGCCACTAAAGTAGAAGATTGCTGGCTGTGGATTTATGTAGTGTCACCAGCATTTCCTGCACAAGGTGACAACTCCTGGGGAGATGTGTAGCAGCGAGCACACTCCTGTCCACTGAACATGCCAGCTATTCAGTTTGCTTTCCATACATACTCCTCCAGCAATGGTCAAGCAAATGACTTGGCCATCTTGACTAACAGTGAGACTTGACTGCACAAGCCATCTCTCCTTACAGTGATATCTGACCACACATTGACCTACACTTCTGTGTAACTGAAAAATGTTTTGTTTTGGAGGCCCATCCACCATCCAGGTGTTGTGTCATCCATCTGCAGATTGCAGAGACCTCATCACACATACCTGTTTAATAATGTTTCTGGCACAGAATGTTTAAGGGTAGAACCTCTGAATGCCTGTCAGAGCTCTCCACATATGGTCAAGAAAGCTGATTGAGAAATGCAGTCAGTCCCTTGTCCTGGATTAAACTCACACATGATAAAATCAGGGCAGCGAAATGGATGGCAGAGTTGGTCAAGCAGCTGATGCTCTCCAGGACAGCACAACATAAGGCAGATCATTTGCTGGCCAGACAGACTGAGGTCCTACAAAATGCAATGTCCCAGTAAGCTTCATGACTCCAAGATGGTTCCCATACACCAGCTGATCTGCCAAAAGCCATGCAGTAATTACCATGGAAGACCATGTTGTGCCTATCTGATGCTGTGTGAGTGGATTGGGCAGGCCTCTTTTCTGATCATAGGACCACAGCAAGCATGCTTTGACATGGCATGTGACTTCAAACTGTTGAATGCTGAAATATT